CCTACTGAAAAGGTCAATGACAAAAGAGAGGAAAAGAGACCTGCGTTATTACCTGGATGTGCTTAAAACTCAATCAGCAGCCCCTCCAGGCTCAGTGGTGATTGACCAGGCCCATTTGCGGCCCCCCGCAAATAGGCCTCTGTCAGTCTCTTCATTGTGTTTATATGGTTGATGTGGAAAGTAAGAGTGGGTCAACAGGTGGTGCAGATTTTTCAGCTTTACCAAAGTGCCGTCAATTAAACTGCAAATATTAGAGCTGAGGAATGAAAATAGAAGGTGGGCCTAAAAATAAGTCGATGAGATGTGTGCGTCTGCTTATTGAACAATGCAGGGAAAGATCTATGATGCACATTCACCTCCTTTTTTTCAGCTCTGAAACATATTCCATAAACACATCCCATAGAGCAGACAGTGGTAATGTTTAATCAGTTAACCTTTGTAGAGTTGAATCGCAAAGTCACCCTCTCATAAAGCAGGGATTCCAGTTAAAACAAGATCCATCCTCAGGTAATAAGATGTGCATCGGGGTGACACAAGAGAGCAGTTAAAGCCAACATCCATGCTCATCCCTTTGTGCTGTTAACCCGCAGTGTCAATAGAAGGATGTTAAACATGTGCAGAACTGGAAAAGAAAAGGGTGTGTAATTCAAGGAAAAAAATTAAAAATGGAAATAAATCTGATCTGAAACTATCGCTTAAAGGATTACAGGTAAACACACATTTTGTAACTGTGAATTCAACAGTAGAGAAAAGGGATTTGTTTCTTAATCTGCACCCTTTACTCTGAGTGACTTTTCATTTATAACTTTTAACATTAAATGCCAAACTATTATTAAATATTTACCTGCACAGATGACTGTAGTTAAATCAGCATTGTTTGGCTATTCGCAGGCAGCAGAAACAAGCGACATATAACTGCCTTTAATATTTATATGGCACACTAAGTTGCATATTTACACATCCAGCAGACACAGAGCATTGGCGTTCATCATATCTTTGGCCTCCTGATGAATGTAAATGCACTATTCACTCCCCTATTTCACTTCACAAATGTCTGTCTTTTTAGCTGCTCTACCCTTTTCATCAGCTAGTCATTGGGGAGACTGACCAAAAACAGTAAAGTTGTGAGCCATAAAACCAAAACAATGAATTGAAAGATACTAAAACGCTTCATAGAATTGTGAGAAACTGCAGAATTGGGTAATAATTCTCTGTGGGTTCATCACTACGACCCCTATCCCATTTGATCCATTAATAATATAAAACATATATATTACAGTAGCTTTAATAAAAAAGCCTAAACATTAATAACACTAAATCTGACACACAGTTTGTCCCCATATAAATCACAATTCAGCAAAACAAGCAAACCTGCTCATGCCAAATATGTTAAGAGCGTGGTGCAGCATTGCTGTGGCTCTGCAGTTATGAGATTTCCCTGAAGATAGAGTTGATACTTTACAGTGGCCAGGCAAAGAGTTTCACCCTTTTTCACACCCTTCCTAGAGTGTGATTAGGTGGTGCTCTCCAACTTGTAGCACTGTTTAATTTGTCATTGCAGGAGCAGCTATCTAGTCCTCGATGGACCTTGGAAAAGGTGGAGATGTGTATCTGTTCCACAGAGACAGGCTCAGCTAGCTGTGGTTTGATAAGGTATAACTTACATTTTATTGGGGATGATTGGAATGGTTTCAGCTTATCCCCATGCTGTGAAGTTGGGACTAGCTGTGGGGTGGCCGAGAGTATATCAGTCTTGGAGATGTGGGAGCAAAATAGACCACCATAAACTACAGCACGAAGCTAATAGATGTATTGATTAGCCAGCCTTCTACTGGTTCCCATTCACTGTGATACAGTAATTGTAGCACATGAAGTCCTCCTGCTGCAGGGGGTTGGGCAGAATTATAGGACGCATTTGTATTCCCGACCAGATGCTTTTCCTCTATACCATCTCTCACTCCCAACCTCTGGCTGTACCTTTCTCCTCCTTTCCCCCCAAACAGTCTTCTGCTTTGTAGTTCAAAGCATCCTATGTACTCTGAAGCCTGTAATACCCAACCTCTATCAACACTGAATTTCTCACTTATTCTCATGCAGGTATTAAAATGCAAACACACATGAGACAAGGACTGTTTATTTGCTTACAAGTCTATGTAAGGGTGTTCCCTATCGCCCTGTTTAATTTGGTTGTTGCATCCTCTTTGGTCTTGGAGTGACAGTGCTCTAAATGCAGTGATAATGAATAGGCCTCAGGGAGTCTTTGCTGACTTGCAGCAGCAGGCTAATGAGATTAGCAAAACCACTGAGGGCTGGTTAACGGCATAAGGCCCCCTATGAGGTAGAACAAGATGAGGAAGCAGGCAGGACTGGGGCATCAATGGGGCTCTGATCTGCAAGGTAAAGCTGACAATATTGAACACCCAGTCCATGTGACGGCCAAAATATACTACTACAGAAACACATTTAAAGTTTGTATATATCATTACTAGTCTCAGTGAGTTTGTGATCAAAATTCAGGAGACTGTACGGTGTTATTGTGTTTTTAGTGCTGCTGCAGCAACTTTGTCCTTCATGGTCTCACCCCCTTTGGATTTACTGATATTTCAGAGTGATTGTACAGATTGGTTGTTTAAAGTTTGCACAGTAGCTGCTCTCAGAGGACAATTTTCCCTCCATCATCAGCAGCTTGATCCATTCTAACAAAATATTCTGATATACTAGAAATTCCTTGGGTGAACTGTTACTACACTCAAATCCACACACACAGCTCACAATCCTGCTCCTTGAATACATTACCGTGACATTAAAACTGACCTTTAAACATTGAGGTAAGAAAGCAGGCACATAAACAAACCTAGACAATCTTTCTAACACTGCATTGTACATAAAAAAAATCAAACAAATAAGGAAAATGTCTTTGCAAGGCATAGTTAAAATGAAGCACTTCATTTGCACGGCAGTGGGCCGATGCACCTTGCACTGATTCTGACAGAGGGCAAAGAGACAATCAAAGCACCAGCAAAGCAAGAACAACTACTGGTTGTTGATCAACAACTGCTGACCATGAACTCATAAAAGACTAATAAAAAACATGTAATTTTATATACTCCTTTTTCCTGAAAGGAACAGACTGTTTTTATGCTTGGTTAAGTGCCATATTATTGTAATCATGCTGCCTTGAAAAGGCAATCATGAGTTTGTGCTTGCAACATTGGGGAGTTCAATGCATGATATGCTTGACATTCAAGAGGTTAAATGCATTATAAAACTTTTAGTTGACAAAAGACAGCAAATGGTAAAAAGAGTTTCTGTTTTGTTCAATTTAGTGCTGAGGCAAACAAGAGAATGGGCAAACAGATAATAGTATACAACACAGGAAACTGCTGTTTTTAATGCTACAACCCTTCAACTTAGATATATTTTACATTATGAAATACAATAATTGTGGAATGATCCTCCTTCACATCACCTTGTAAGAGTAATTTAATAAATTTAGATTTAAATTCTGGTGGATTTGGCGACTGCTGGGGTTACTTATTAGTAATGGCAGAAGCAATTTAATAACGCAGGATCCAGAGTTTTGTTTAAATAATGTGTGAATTGACCACTGGGGCAGAAAATAGTTCTAGGTAGCTATTCTATAAGAGCTGCAACAAAAGAAGGAAAACTCATGTATCTATTGACAGCACATCCAAACAAACTGTTTATCATGTCACGTTGAAAGAAAGAAAACTAAAAAAGGGAATATCTTACTCATGATCAAAAATAATCCATCAGTTTAGCATAGCATTATGCTATAACACTGTCAGACTCACTATGGACAGTTAGAAACAGGATAAAACAGAGCTAGAGATATTTAGTTTTATTCCATGCATTCTTCTTCCTTGTCAAAACCTGGCCCCTACATTACCCATAATGCAGCTTGACTACCAACAATTTGATTGGAGATTCAGGTGTGTTATACCAGTCGCAGCATTTAGTCACCCTTAAGCAGAGAGGATTTAAAAACATTTTCTTAACTGCAACTGATGCTGACTCAAGTGATAAAGGCGGACCCCGCCACTCACAATGAAGACAACAACAATGCAAATACAGTAAACTGCAATTTTCTGAAAAAAAGTAGGGTTTGATGAACATCAATTATGTGGGCAAACTCCACATCAGTTAACAAGTGACAATCACAATGCACAACCTTTGCACACAGGTATTCATCTTCCATTTCTCTTTTCTCTCTCTCCGTCAGTCACTGACACTGAGGCCACAGTACCATAGGGCAATAAGAACACAAAGAAAAAGTTTCAAAGACAGTTTGAGCACATTACTGCACAGAAAACATCTGCCATGATTTAGGCAAGCCAGGGGAGCACACAAATCCCCAAACCCACAACCACCCACACAGAAAAAAAGACAGATATGAGAATGATCGACACAGCGGCAGTATACTCCTCTTGAGGGGTTGCACAGAACTGTAAAATAAACTTTTTATACAGAGATTTTGAGGCTATGCTTAGCCACAAACTCATGGAGCCATGTCAGTATATGACCATGGCTACTGTTAATGCCATTTTCCATATAGTTTTTTTTATTCTGCAAAAGCTTATCTTTGCCGTATAAGCATTCATTTAACAAGAGCTCTGGTGGTAATTTAATAATTGCCCTGTGCAGTAACACATTTGCTAATCTGTTTGTGGAATGACCAAGAAAGCTTTAACAGTCAGCTATAACAGGAAGTTACAACAGCTAGTATACTGTGTTTTACAGCGTTGTAACTTAGCCATTACAGCAGGTAAGTCACAAGAGAATCCCCACTAAAACATAATGAAATGAAGCAATGTGTTGTGTCAGCATGATGCAACTCATTTGCAACTTTTAAATAGTTGCAGTACAGATTGGGATAATTGACAGTAAAGACAACATGTAAGGAGATGAAAGTACAAGAGGAGATACAGGAGGGCTTTTCATGCAGACAGCTGGCATACAACAGAAGAGGTTTGACTTACAGAAGAGAAGTTGTGAACGCCACATGGCTCTCCTCTGTATTTGCACGAGAGGAGCATGTCATCCAGTTGGTGGCTCAGTCTATCCATAAACTCCAGGTTGGTCCCCTCAAAGTTTCTCGGTGGCAGAAAGAGCCTGAAGTCTGACAGCTTCCTGAACCAAGCCTGACGGTCCTCTTGAAGCAAGTCCAGAACCATGGGCCTCACTGTCCGGTTAGCCAGCAGCAAGCCCAGCCAGTGGCCAGCGAAATACAGGTCGCTCTTGGTGAGCTTGTAGAGGCGGATAGGGTTGTTGTTGCAGATAGTAACTGCAGGGAAAGCTAGTTCTTTGGCCCACTCTGTGTGGACTCGTGTGTATGTGGGGAAGGAAAGCCAGTGGAGTAGGCGGTTGGATGACCAGGATAAAAGCAGCCCCAGGGAGGTGCAGAGGGCCAATAGCCAAAAGGCCCTACGGCCCACAGAGCCACCAGGGATGCAAACATGCCTCAGGCCATGCAGGCGTGTCCTTGACAACAGAGTGGAAGTGACCCGAGCCAGAGTTGGCTTTGTAGGACGTCGCTGACGGCCTTTTCTGATCATGGCTGGGGATCCCCGCCGGAGACAGCGCCCCTCTAGGGCCATAGCTGCCCACAGCGCTCCTACAGCCGCGGGAAAGGCTTCATTTCCCAGCCAGGCCTCAGGGGCTGGGGCCCACATGTAGCTCCAGGATAAATCCACTACTGTAATCCACACCTGGATATGTGTTTGGCCTTACAAATACAAATGACCCATGCAGTATTGACTGTAAAATTACCGTATGCACATGTAGAAGTACCCTCAAGTAAATGTTTTGAAGTCGTCTTCTCCTGACGGTGGAGGAGCTCTGATGAACTCAGCAGCAGCTACTTGTTGGTCATCTCTCCTGGTCTTTCGATCTGAGAGCGCTCTCTAATCAACCAACTCAGCATGGGAAAAAAAAATCAGCTAGGCAAATGTGCTCCAAGCAAGGTGGCTTCTACATGAGTGACTCCAGCATCCACCGCAGTTAGTGTGACAGTGAACAAGAGAGGATGAGACAGAGAGAGCGAACGCAAGAGGAAGAGGGAGGGGAAGGGAGAGGGAGAGAGGAGGATAGAATACAAAATACCAAGGGCTAAGCAGAGAGGACAAAAAACAAATGAAAGAAGGGAAGGTAATTAAAATAATGAGACAACAGCGAAGGGAATTGGTTGGTGTGGTGCAGTCTGTTAGAGTGGAGCTTGCCTCGTTCCAGCGCTGTGGTTTCTCTTCTTCTGAGTTACATGTGTGCGTTTTTTTGGCTTCACTGGCTTGCAGAGGCGTTGGGCAGCCAGAGGCAGCAATCAGTTCCTTGTCACTATTAAGTAGAAGCTTTAATTGAATTCACAAAAGTCTCCCGTGCTCATTTGTTGTTTGTCCCACTTTGCGGTCTCACTTTTGATGCCTTGACTTCCTCGTGATGTCACTGGTCTGTTTCTTGCCTCTCCCCCCACTTGGCTTTGACCAGTGTTATTTGATCCTGCGGGTAACCACGGGGTAGCTTCATCGTGTAGTGGACCTGCTTCTCAGCACCACAGCCACAGTGAGAAACATGCTACAACACACTTTCACATGTAGAAGGAGGCACTCGTGCGCATACACGGACATACACTCACAGCAGTTTTCTGCAGGAAACCAGACCAGAGATAATCTGTTCTGTCACACTCTGATCTCAACATCTCTCCCCCGTTTCTCTATCTCCTGTTATTCTCTCTTCTTCTTCTTCACTAGTTTTTTCTCCTTCACTCAAAGACAGCATCTCTAATCTCAATATTCCTCTCATGTCCCTGCTCCTCCTTCTAAAAATACTCTCCCCAAATCAAATCCATCAACTTGCCCTCACGCTCCTCCTCCCCCTCTTCGCTTGTGTCAGTCAAGCCCCGTAAGCTCGACCTCCTGTCAGGCTCCCTCTCTTCCTTCTCCTCCTCTTCTTCTTCTTCTTTTCCACTTTGTGCACGCACTCCTTCACTTCTTTCCCCCGTCAGGCAAGGCTTCTCTGAGCGCTCTCCTGCCTCTGTGTCCTTGTCAGCTTCATCCAGCTTGCTCCCTCTCCCTGCTCCGAATGACTTCTCTCCCCTCAGTGATCTCTCTCCGTTTTTTTCCCTCCTCCCTCTCTCGTTGTCTCTCGCGTTTTGTTCCTCTGTTTTGCTCCGGTTTTCAGGCAGCTTGTCCTCCCGTTGCACCTCTCCTCCTCCTCCTGCGCCACAGCTCTGTCCACACAGCCGGTGAGCCCGTCACTGATGAGAGCGCCTGTCTCTCTCTGCGCTAACTCGTGCTGTCCTTCGCCCCCCTCTGTTTATCTGCTGCTGCTGCCGAGCCACACGGCTACAGTGCAGACTGCTCTTTGCATGAATGTGAGGGTTTGTGTGTAGCGGAGGAGAACAGCTCGACACGGGCTCTCCACTAGACTTTTAGCTCTAGAGCCCAAATGTTTATCACTGTATCACAATGTGAATACAAAGTGGGTAGTGGGGGATTGAGTGGGGGAATGAATGCTACTCTTTGTTTATGAAAATTTAGTTTTTATAGTATTTTAAGTTTGGCACTTTGATATATGTTTAATCTTATTAGAAAAGTATCAGTTTTAGTCAAATTTTAGTTATTTGAATTTTGCTACAAAATACATTTTAGTCAGTTACACTTTTTATCATTTTTAATTTTCTTTCAATGAAAAATGACAATTGTCTTCTCAGTATTTTGAGGCTTGTTTCCATCTTTGATATGTACAGTTATAGGTAGATAGGTCAGATTTTATTTGTTATTGTCTAGGAATTTATAATATATTTTGTTGTTGTTCTCATTTTCAAAGTTACTTTTTGTTTAATTTTAAAAGGTACTCAACAAAAATATAATATATAATACATTAAAACATATACATAAAATATATAAAAACACTAGATGTATGAAAATGTCTGGTTTATTCTGTTTTGTGAGGAGTGCAGAGATTTAAAATATTTTTATATTTTTGAGAAATCAGAAAGCGCTCACATTTAAATTTTTTGATGTAGATGTGTTTTTGGAATTAGCCTTTGATTAGAGCCTAATCAAAAAATTATTGAAGCCGATATTTGCAGTTAAGTGAAAGTGTTACCATTACATAATTTATCCACTAGGGGGCACTGAAAGATGTATGTAAAAAGAAAAAAAATGATTGGGCTGAATTTTTCACATCCCTTCAACACACGGACGTAATTTGGGGGGG